CGCGATGAATACCCAGCAGACTTTCCAGAACATGGACGGGTTGTAGCCCAGCATGAACTTGAGATCTTCGCTGAACCTGCGCACGCCATACACCCAGTGCAGGCCGACCAGCTCTAGGATGGCGATCAGGAGCACGCCGACGCCGCCGCCGAAGCTATCCACCAGGTAGAAGATGTACTGGCCCATCTGCCGAAGGCGCGGAAGGGGTTGGAATGTTATTTTTCTTCCTTGATATTCATATTAGACGGTTTCTTTACGTTTCAGAGCGTTAAGTAATTCCTCTCGCGTGATAGCAATAAAGTTACCTAATTTTAGCGATAGTGCCATTAAACAACCATTACTCTAAACTATTACTCTTCATAACCATTCAACAAATCATTAATCTCCAAGAAAATGATGTTCTCCAAACCACAAGTTCATCAGCAAGTCATAAGCGAGATCATTGCTCCAGCGAGAGTGGGATCGAATGCGGGTACTCACGGTGGCGCACATCGGGATGCCCATCAGGAAGCACGACACGCAGAGCAGGGCGGTCAGCTTGAACTTCTGGTTGCGTGTGCTCGGGAAGGTGTCGTACAGGGCCGTCAGTACCGTTTCCAGGAGCGCAAACTGAGAGGAGAAGAGTTAAATATCGATTTTTAGAGGTATTTTTTGTTTGGATTTTAGATACTGCGCTAACTGTCGAGGAGGGTTAAGTGAGAATTTGAGGAAAAATAGAAAAGCGGGTAAATGATTATGATTATGTAAAAAAGTCAGGACTTTAGATACTACAGTGGAAAAAAAAGAATAAAGTTAACATCAAATATGAACCTTCAAGAATCATCAGGAATTCACACACAAAATTGTAAACAGGAAAACAAAACAACAAAGAAAATGAGAACAAAATAAAAAAACAGAAAATCAAACAAAATCCCTAAAGGTAAAACCATGAATTTCAACCACACTAAATCAGACAACAGGAAGGAAAAAAACCCACACTAGCCCAACGGTTTAGACCTCTCCCTCCACACACTTCATAGTCCACCAAACAGCCTTACCTCGGAGTCCAAGCCGAGTGTGAACAGCATGAAGAAGAAGAGCGACGCCCACATCTGCGGGAAGGGGAGCGTGCGCGAGATGGCCTCCGGGTATGCAATGAAGGCGAGGCCGGGACCTGCAACGGGGACGGGGGCTTAGTCCACCTGCTACGTGTGTCTTGGTGTGAAATAAAGCGTGACCTGGTTTTTCGAGTTGGTGTTTTACCTAGTGTGTTAACTTGGTTTGTGACCTTGTGTTTTACCTAGTGGGTTAGTTGTTGTGTGACTTGGTTCGTGATATTGCTTTTTAACTAATGAGTGACCTAGCTTGTGACCTTGTGTGTCACTTGGTAGGTTATTTGGTGTGTAACCTGGTTTGCGATATTGCGTTTTAACTAATAAGTGACTGGGTTTGCGACCTAGCGTGTGATCTGGTTTGCGATATCGTGTATGACCTGGTGTGTGATCCAACGTGTGTGACCTGGTTTGCGCCTTGTGTTTTACCTAGTGTGGGATCTGGTGTGTTACTTGGTGTGTGACTTGGTTTGCAATCTGGTATGTGACCTGGCTTGCAACCTGGTGTAGCCTAAGCGACAAGGAAGTCAGTACAGTGATATAATATCGAACAAGAAATTGGTGGCAAATTGTGGATGTCGTAACACTGTTTCCCTTTCTTCGCCTAACAGTATATTTAAGGAAATATATTCAGAACCAGAAAAATAGATATTATCACATTTCAGCCTATAAAGAAATATTACACCATAATCAAGTTTATCACCACACTGTTTCATGAACCCAATTACAATAACAATTCTAGAATTGCAGTTAGTTTAAAAGGATTTCTTATTATCATCGCTACTATTGCTATTATCCTCATCATCGCCATCATTATTATAACCATTATAATCATCCTCGCCAGTAAACAGACAAATAAATAAAAAACAAGTAAACAGACAAATAAATAAAAAACAAGTAAACAGACAAATAAATAAAAAACAAGTAAACAGACAAATAAATAAAAAACAAGTAAACAGACAAATAAATAAAAAACAAGTAAACAGACAAATAAATAAAAAACAAGTAAACAGACAAATAAATAAAAAACAAGTAAACAGACAAATAAATAAAAAACAAGTAAACAGACAAATAAATAAAAAACAAGTAAACAGACAAATAAATAAAAAACAAGTAAACAGACAAATAAATAAAAAACAAGTAAACAGACAAATAAATAAAAAACAAGTAAACAGACAAATAAATAAAAAACAAGTAAACAGACAAATAAATAAAAAACAAGTAAACAGACAAATAAATAAAAAACAAGTAAACAGACAAATAAATAAAAAACAAGTAAACAGACAAATAAATAAAAAACAAGTAAACAGACAAATAAATAAAAAACAAGTAAACAGACAAATAAATAAAAAACAAGTAAACAGACAAATAAATAAAAAACAAGTAAACAGACAAATAAATAAAAAACAAGTAAACAGACAAATAAATAAAAAACAAGTAAACAGACAAATAAATAAAAAACAAGTAAACAGACAAATAAATAAAAAACAAGTAAACAGACAAATAAATAAAAAACAAGTAAACAGACAAATAAATAAAAAACAAGTAAACAGACAAATAAATAAAAAACAAGTAAACAGACAAATAAATAAAAAACAAGTAAACAGACAAATAAATAAAAAACAAGTAAACAGACAAATAAATAAAAAACAAGTAAACAGACAAATAAATAAAAAACAAGTAAACAGACAAATAAATAAAAAACAAGTAAACAGACAAATAAATAAAAAACAAGTAAACAGACAAATAAATAAAAAACAAGTAAACAGACAAATAAATAAAAAACAAGTAAACAGACAAATAAATAAAAAACAAGTAAACAGACAAATAAATAAAAAACAAGTAAACAGACAAATAAATAAAAAACAAGTAAACAGACAAATAAATAAAAAACAAGTAAACAGACAAATAAATAAAAAACAAGTAAACAGACAAATAAATAAAAAACAAGTAAACAGACAAATAAATAAAAAACAAGTAAACAGACAAATAAATAAAAAACAAGTAAACAGACAAATAAATAAAAAACAAGTAAACAGACAAATAAATAAAAAACAAGTAAACAGACAAATAAATAAAAAACAAGTAAACAGACAAATAAATAAAAAACAAGTAAACAGACAAATAAATAAAAAACAAGTAAACAGACAAATAAATAAAAAACAAGTAAACAGACAAATAAATAAAAAACAAGTAAACAGACAAATAAATAAAAAACAAGTAAACAGACAAATAAATAAAAAACAAGTAAACAGACAAATAAATAAAAAACAAGTAAACAGACAAATAAATAAAAAACAAGTAAACAGACAAATAAATAAAAAACAAGTAAACAGACAAATAAATAAAAAACAAGTAAACAGACAAATAAATAAAAAACAAGTAAACAGACAAATAAATAAAAAACAAGTAAACAGACAAATAAATAAAAAACAAGTAAACAGACAAATAAATAAAAAACAAGTAAACAGACAAATAAATAAAAAACAAGTAAACAGACAAATAAATAAAAAACAAGTAAACAGACAAATAAATAAAAAACAAGTAAACAGACAAATAAATAAAAAACAAGTAAACAGACAAATAAATAAAAAACAAGTAAACAGACAAATAAATAAAAAACAAGTAAACAGACAAATAAATAAAAAACAAGTAAACAGACAAATAAATAAAAAACAAGTAAACAGACAAATAAATAAAAAACAAGTAAACAGACAAATAAATAAAAAACAAGTAAACAGACAAATAAATAAAAAACAAGTAAACAGACAAATAAATAAAAAACAAGTAAACAGACAAATAAATAAAAAACAAGTAAACAGACAAATAAATAAAAAACAAGTAAACAGACAAATAAATAAAAAACAAGTAAACAGACAAATAAATAAAAAACAAGTAAACAGACAAATAAATAAAAAACAAGTAAACAGACAAATAAATAAAAAACAAGTAAACAGACAAATAAATAAAAAACAAGTAAACAGACAAATAAATAAAAAACAAGTAAACAGACAAATAAATAAAAAACAAGTAAACAGACAAATAAATAAAAAACAAGTAAACAGACAAATAAATAAAAAACAAGTAAACAGACAAATAAATAAAAAACAAGTAAACAGACAAATAAATAAAAAACAAGTAAACAGACAAATAAATAAAAAACAAGTAAACAGACAAATAAATAAAAAACAAGTAAACAGACAAATAAATAAAAAACAAGTAAACAGACAAATAAATAAAAAACAAGTAAACAGACAAATAAATAAAAAACAAGTAAACAGACAAATAAATAAAAAACAAGTAAACAGACAAATAAATAAAAAACAAGTAAACAGACAAATAAATAAAAAACAAGTAAACAGACAAATAAATAAAAAACAAGTAAACAGACAAATAAATAAAAAACAAGTAAACAGACAAATAAATAAAAAACAAGTAAACAGACAAATAAATAAAAAACAAGTAAACAGACAAATAAATAAAAAACAAGTAAACAGACAAATAAATAAAAAACAAGTAAACAGACAAATAAATAAAAAACAAGTAAACAGACAAATAAATAAAAAACAGGTAAATAGAAAAATAAATAAAAAACAAATAAGCAAACAAACAAACTAATAAAACAAAGACACAAACAAGTAAACCAAACAAGACCCCCCCCCCCCCCCCCCCCCCCCCCCCCCCCCCCCCCCCCCCCCCCCCCCCCCCCCCCCCCCCCCCCCCCCCCCCCCCCCCCCCCCCCCCCCCCCCCCCCCCCCCCCCCCCCCCCCCCCCCCCCCCCCCCCCCCCCCCCCCCCCCCCCCCCCCCCCCCCCCCCCCCCCCCCCCCCCCCCCCCCCCCCCCCCCCCCCCCCCCCCCCCCCCCCCCCCCCCCCCCCCCCCCCCCCCCCCCCCCCCCCCCCCCCCCCCCCCCCCCCCCCCCCCCCCCCCCCCCCCCCCCCCCCCCCCCCCCCCCCCCCCCCCCCCCCCCCCCCCCCCCCCCCCCCCCCCCCCCCCCCCCCCCCCCCCCCCCCCCCCCCCCCCCCCCCCCCCCCCCCCCCCCCCCCCCCCCCCCCCCCCCCCCCCCCCCCCCCCCCCCCCCCCCCCCCCCCCCCCCCCCCCCCCCCCCCCCCCCCCCCCCCCCCCCCCCCCCCCCCCCCCCCCCCCCCCCCCCCCCCCCCCCCCCCCCCCCCCCCCCCCCCCCCCCCCCCCCCCCCCCCCCCCCCCCCCCCCCCCCCCCCCCCCCCCCCCCCCCCCCCCCCCCCCCCCCCCCCCCCCCCCCCCCCCCCCCCCCCCCCCCCCCCCCCCCCCCCCCCCCCCCCCCCCCCCCCCCCCCCCCCCCCCCCCCCCCCCCCCCCCCCCCCCCCCCCCCCCCCCCCCCCCCCCCCCCCCCCCCCCCCCCCCCCCCCCCCCCCCCCCCCCCCCCCCCCCCCCCCCCCCCCCCCCCCCCCCCCCCCCCCCCCCCCCCCCCCCCCCCCCCCCCCCCCCCCCCCCCCCCCCCCCCCCCCCCCCCCCCCCCCCCCCCCCCCCCCCCCCCCCCCCCCCCCCCCCCCCCCCCCCCCCCCCCCCCCCCCCCCCCCCCCCCCCCCCCCCCCCCCCCCCCCCCCCCCCCCCCCCCCCCCCCCCCCCCCCCCCCCCCCCCCCCCCCCCCCCCCCCCCCCCCCCCCCCCCCCCCCCCCCCCCCCCCCCCCCCCCCCCCCCCCCCCCCCCCCCCCCCCCCCCCCCCCCCCCCCCCCCCCCCCCCCCCCCCCCCCCCCCCCCCCCCCCCCCCCCCCCCCCCCCCCCCCCCCCCCCCCCCCCCCCCCCCCCCCCCCCCCCCCCCCCCCCCCCCCCCCCCCCCCCCCCCCCCCCCCCCCCCCCCCCCCCCCCCCCCCCCCCCCCCCCCCCCCCCCCCCCCCCCCCCCCCCCCCCCCCCCCCCCCCCCCCCCCCCCCCCCCCCCCCCCCCCCCCCCCCCCCCCCCCCCCCCCCCCCCCCCCCCCCCCCCCCCCCCCCCCCCCCCCCCCCCCCCCCCCCCCCCCCCCCCCCCCCCCCCCCCCCCCCCCCCCCCCCCCCCCCCCCCCCCCCCCCCCCCCCCCCCCCCCCCCCCCCCCCCCCCCCCCCCCCCCCCCCCCCCCCCCCCCCCCCCCCCCCCCCCCCCCCCCCCCCCCCCCCCCCCCCCCCCCCCCCCCCCCCCCCCCCCCCCCCCCCCCCCCCCCCCCCCCCCCCCCCCCCCCCCCCCCCCCCCCCCCCCCCCCCCCCCCCCCCCCCCCCCCCCCCCCCCCCCCCCCCCCCCCCCCCCCCCCCCCCCCCCCCCCCCCCCCCCCCCCCCCCCCCCCCCCCCCCCCCCCCCCCCCCCCCCCCCCCCCCCCCCCCCCCCCCCCCCCCCCCCCCCCCCCCCCCCCCCCCCCCCCCCCCCCCCCCCCCCCCCCCCCCCCCCCCCCCCCCCCCCCCAACAAGTAAACAGACAAATAAATAAAAAACAAGTAAACAGACAAATAAATAAAAAACAAGTAAACAGACAAATAAATAAAAAACAAGTAAACAGACAAATAAATAAAAAACAAGTAAACAGACAAATAAATAAAAAACAAGTAAACAGACAAATAAATAAAAAACAAGTAAACAGACAAATAAATAAAAAACAAGTAAACAGACAAATAAATAAAAAACAAGTAAACAGACAAATAAATAAAAAACAAGTAAACAGACAAATAAATAAATAAACAATTAAATTGACAAATAAATAAAAAAACAAGTAAACAGACAAATAAATAAAAAACAAGTAAACAGACAAATAAATAAAAAACAAGTAAACAGACAAATAAATAAAAAACAAGTAAACAGACAAATAAAGTTAAAAACAAGTAAATTGGCAAATAAAAAATAAGCAAACATGTAAACGATTAAACAAACAAATAAAATAAAGACAAAAAAGCAACCCAATACAAGATATAATCCTCGCCATGAACGTCATTCCAACACGACGAAGCGAAGGAAGCCAATACCAGCTTTGGCTTCGACTTCGTACCTTGTTGCGGAACTTGTTGTAGGATCCGAACATGATGAGTCCTCCCCACGACACGGACAGCGAGAAGAACATCTGCTCGGCCGCCTTTCGCCACACGTGCACGTCCAGGATCTTCTCCCACTTGGGCACGAACAGGAACGTCAGGCCCTGAGGAGGAGGAGGAGGAGGGTGTGAGGGACGAGGAGGCATCGGGAGGGAATTTGTTCTCGTAGATAATGAGGGAGTGGATTAGTTTATACAGTGAATATACATACATACGTATATACATGCATACATACATGCATACACACACACACACACACACACACAAACACACACACACACACACACACGCAAACACACACATTCTCAAAAAACACACACACTCCTCAGCAGCAGAAGTTGGTCCGTACCTTGGTGGCGCCCTCGAGCATGACGCCGACGATGAGCAGAGCCACGAGGATGATGTAGGGGAAGGTGGCGGTGAAGTAGACGACCTTGCCTGACGACTTAATGCCCTTCATGAGGCACAGGAACACGATGACCCAGGACAGGAGCAGGTAGAGGGTCAGCTTCACCTGGATGTCTCCGATCTGGCCGAATTCCTTCAATCCTGACTTGTCGATGTTAAGGACTCCTCTCCTGCGGGAAGGAACCGCGGAGGGTGAGTCAGCGTAACCGTGACTTACTAAAAATAACGATAATAGTAATTCTTGATGAGCTAAATTCTTGTGGCTAATAAGAGCAAGGTTATCTTTGTCTCTGCTTTCGCTTGGAAGTACTCAGACTCTTTTTTTTGCGCCGATGTCAGTGTAACGGAAATTGGCTTAAACAGCAGATCTCGTGGCTCATCCATGCAGCGCCAGATTATATCATATACTTTACTGTCACAAAGCTTATATTACTAAACCACACGCAAGGTGCAGGAAGTCCCCAATTTTACAATAACACACTTAAACATAAATAATTTAATTACTAAATATATGTGTATATATATATTTATACATATGAATATATGTCTGTGTCTATGTCTATGTGTATGTATATATATATATATATATATATATATATATATATATATATATATATATATATATATACATATATATATATATATATATATATATATATATATATATATATATATATATATATATATATATATACCTACATATATATATATATATATATATATATATATATATATATATATATATATATATATATATATATATATATATATATATATATATACATGCGTGTGTTGACTCTACATGCGCAAGGCTATTCAGTTGAATGCTCCAACTCGACTCACTCCCAGAACTGCACGGCCGACGACTCGTTCTTGAGCGTGCAGTTGATGGTGTCCGTGGGGCCGGTGAGGTTATAGCGCGCGCACGGGTAGATGCCGCCCACGGCGAAGCAGTTATCGTCCGCCCATTCGGCGTCGCAGCTCGCCCACGGCACCTGAGAGGATATGGGAAAGGCGTTTGGAATATATATCTTAGGATACGAAAAAGGAAAGATATCGTGTATATAAGTTGACAATGGAAAGTTAAAGATAATAAAACTAACTGAAAGGAAAAGTGGATTCTCATCCTCGCCTTCGAAAAACCCAAGACTTTTCTCCTTTCTTATGCGGGAAGATCTAATGCCACAAAAGATCCTTACCACATTCAAAGACAAACGTATTCTTCAAGCGAGTCTTTCTTCTAATTCAAGCGACAGAGTTTGGTGATTTTTAAACAATTGAGGAGCCACTTTTCCACGCAAACTCTCCCTTTTCTTATCTTCTTCATTGTTTTCTTTCTCTGACTCTCCGATTTGCCTTAGTACCCGATAAATTCTCACATCGGTGCACACACTATTAAAACAATTGTCTATTTCTTATATGTGAACAAAAACATTTCATACTAAAGACAAACTGAAGGTAGAAAATAATTCTAAAGGATAATTCCGTATTGAAAAGAAAATAAATCTGCACAAAGGAAAAAAATAAATAAAAAAAAGGTAACTAAATGAAATAAAAAAACACGAAGAAAAAATAATTATACATATAAATATTAACTAAAATTCGCAATCCCAGAAAATACTCTGAAACACGAATGAGACATACATCGGAGGCGAAACAGTCGAACATGTAGAAGAGCGTGTAGGCCATGAGCTGGTTGTAGTAAATGGCTGTGATGAGAGACAGGATAACCATAGCGATGCCGACGCCTGTGAGAGACAAAGGGAAATGAAGGTTAGTCTCTGGATAGTACAGAGAAAGATGTAATGTATTGTGGATTATCTTTTATGTTAATTTTGTCTGTGAACTGATTTTTTTCCACTTTTTTCATGAAACTTATTTTGCTTCTTATATTTTTTCTTCTTATTCTTCTTATTATTTTTATCATCATTATTATCATTATCATTATTATTACCATTATCATTATCATTATCATTATCATTATCATTATCATTATCATTATCATTATCATTATCTTTACCATTACCATCATTATCATCATTATCATCACTATCATCACTAGCATCATTCTCACCCTCTTCATCCCATCCCCTCCCCCCACCTCACCATCCCCGCGACCCAACCTGACCTTGCATAACGGGGGCACAGCGCCACACGTTCATAGGCCCGAGCTGTGAGTACTGTCCGAGCGCCGTCTCCATCAGATACATGGGCTTTCCGATCAGGACGAGGAGGATGATGTACGGGAACAGGAACGCAGCTGGAAGATGTTTTAGATTAGGAATCATTAGATGGCGGAGGATGTATTAGGCGATGTTAGATGGCGGAAGATGTATTAGAGGATATTAGATAATGGAGGGAATTATAGTTGATGATATTTGAGGATGGAGGATGGTATATTAAGTGATGGACGAGGAGGATGTGCGGGAAGAGGAACACACCTAGAGGACATTTTAGATCGGGTGTTATTAG